ATGTCCACATTTTAATTGCAATATTGGTGCACATAAATTGTGGCTGCTTAAAAATTAATGTGCACTGCATTTTGCTGAGATTTTTTAAAAAGCATAATTTTTATAGTTTTCTTGTCCCTAGGAAATAGATAGAAATTCATTCAAAACCTGCCCTAATCATGTGGCACATGTATGTAATCTCAGCTATTAAGATGGCTGAGATAGGAGAATTATACATTTGGTGACAGATTGGGCAACTTCCTGAGAATCTGTCTCAAAAGTCATTTATCAAGCTGGGAAGGTGGCTCAGCGGTAAGTGCTTGCCTTGCATGCACGAGGCCCTGGGTTCAATCCCTCAGCACCACGTAAGCAGAAAAAGCCGAAGTGGCACTTTGGCTCAAGTGGTAGAGTGTTAGCCTTGAGCTGAAGAGCTGAGACAGTGCCCAGGCCCAGAGTTCAGGCCCTACAACCAACAACAACAAAAAAAAAAAGTCGTTTATCTTTTTTTAAAAAAAAAGTGTTGTAAAAGTGATGTAGAGAGGCATTCCAGTTACATAATTAGATAATGAGTATGTTTATTTTTGAACAGTGTTACCCCTTCTCTTGCTTTCTCCCACTTTTTGCCTTCTGACTATGCACGCAAGTTGTACGATTCATTTTCACCATAGTGTCTAGTGAGTATCACTGATGCATTTGTTTACACTTTGTCCCACCATTTATGTGCTCCCTCCTTACCCTCCCCAAACAGAGAAACTTACATATAAGACAAAAGATACAGAAAACCAAACAATGATAAAGTGAAAAAACCCTCTTGTTTCCAATTTTTAGAGGTCATCTTGACAAATACCATTTTATATGATCATATGCACTTAATTACTGAGCCTTTGTGATCCTCTTCTAAGAATATCATCCTTTGGTCTCACTGTGTGAATGTCTGGAGTCCTGTAAACTTTATCATTTCCAGGTGTATTTTTTTGTCTTGTACCATCCTTTGTGTTTTACTTTCTATGCATCAGACAAGGGCCTCATATCTACAATATACTTAGACCTCAAAAATTAATCCCTTCAAACCTTACTGCATTGTTGGTGGGAGTGTAAACTTGCTCAACCATTTTGGAAAACAGTATGGCAGTTCCTCAAAAGACTCCACATAGAGCTCCCCTATGACCCAACAATCCCACTTTTGGGCATTTACCCAAATGATCACAAACTAGACCACACTAAAGCTACCAGCACAACTATGTTTATTGCAGCATTATTTACCATAGCTAAGATATGGAACCAACCCAGATGCCCCTCAGTAGATGAATGGATCAAGAAAATGTGGTATATACATACAATGGAATTCCATGCCTCCATCAGAAAGAATGGCATTGCCCCATTTATTAGGAAATGGAAAGACTTGGAAAAAATTATATTAAGTGAAGTAAGCTAGGCCCAAAGAAACATAGGTCCCATGGTTTCCTTTATTTGCAATAACTAGTATATGTCTGAGTCAAGCAGAAAAGGTCAGATAAGTTGATGAACCCCAAGATAAGTATTCAGATGTTCTTTTGGGTTTTTTTCCTTTTATGCAATTGTTTCTATCACATTTATAAGATGATTTCTATGTTGCGGCTTTGTATGTCCCTCCCCCACAGTATAACCCATGCTTTCACTGTTTTTGATGCTGGTATAATTTGTGGAGGGGAAGGGGAAAAAAACAAATCGTTTAACTAGGGATACAGGTGGACCCATTGCAACAATGAGATGTACAAGTCCTTATGTCAAAAAACGAACTTGGGGGGTGGGGGGTGGGGGGAGGATTAGGTGAGGGGAGGAGAGGAGTATAGAAAGGGATGGGAAGGGGAAACAACGAGGAAGCAACAATGCTTGATAAGAAATGTATCATTATCTTGCCCATGTAATTGTAACTCCTCTGTACGGTATTCTCACAATAAAAAAATTATCCCTTCAACAATAAACCCTCTAAAATTAAAAAAAAAACCTGAAAGATACAACAATCTAATTAATAAATGGGCTAAAGACTTAAAGAGAGACTTCTCAGAAGAAGTAAGACGGGCCAATAGACGCATGAAGAAATATTTAACATCTCTGCAATAAAAGAAATGCAATCAAAGCAATATTAAGATTCTATCTCACCCCTGTTAGAATGCTATTATCAAAAAAACTAACAATAACAGATGCTGGTGGGGATGTGCCAAAAAGGGAATACTAGTACATTGTTGTTGTGAATGTAAACTGGGTCAACCACTATGGAAAGCAGTATAGAGGTTCCTCAAAAGACAAAACATAGAGCTTCCCTATGACCTAGCAATTTCATTTCTAAGCATTTATCCAATGGAATCAAACAAGGTCACACAAAAGCAACCAGCACAAGCATGTTGATGGCATCCTTGTTAATCACAGCCAAGATATGAAATCAACCCAGATGTTTCTCAATGGATGAATGGATCAAGAAAATGTCATGTATATACATAATGGAATTCTGCACTTCCATCAGAAAGAATGATACTGTCCCATTCACAGGTAATGGAAAACTTGGAAAAAAGTATATTAAGCAAAGTAAGCCAGACCCAAAGAAAGTTGCATGGATTCCTTTATTTGTTGTAACTAGACTGTGCCTGTCTCACTGTTTTTTTAAATTCCAATGACTTATTTGTATTCTGTATTTTGTATTAGTATTTCCCAAACCTAACTATATACTGTTCAATTTGCATAATATTGCATGAATACAGAACTTCATTTATTAGTAAATTTACTACACTTTCATGACTCATACATAAGCAAATTGTAATTAATACCTTTAACATTTTTTAGTTCTGTATGATAGTTTTGGGGGTTCTTTTTCAGTAATGGAGGACTGAACTCGGGAACTGTGTGCTGTCCCTGAGCTCTTTTGCTCAAGGCTAGTGCTCTACTACTTTGAGCCACAGTGCCTACATCTGGTTTTTTAGTGTTTTGTTGTTTTGGTTTGGTTTTTTGTTTTTGGTTTGGTTTTGTCAGTCCTGGGGCTTGAACTCAGGGCCTAGGCACTGAGCTTCTTGTTCAAGGCCAGCACTCTACCACTTGATCCACAGTACCACTTCTGGCTTTTTCTGGGTATATGGTACTAAGGAATTAAAGCCACAGCTTCATGCAAGCTAGACAAGCACTCTCCCACTAATCCACACTCCCAGCATTTTGAGTGGTTTTGAGATAAGAGTCTCAAAGAGACTTTTCTACCCAGATTGAGTTTGAACTCTGATCCTCAGATCTCAACCTTCTAAGTAGCTAGGATTACAAGCATGAACCACCAATGCCTGGCTATATGATAGTTTTTATTTTTGTTTAATATGGTAGAATTTGCTATATCTTCTCATGCATAAATCACTTACAACATGACATTTGGATGACTTATAATTTATTATTACTATTATTGTTATTATTATTATACTTTAATAACCAGAAGTTCAGGGAGTTTACAATTTTCCTTCCAAAAAGACTTCTTGAAAAACTAATACTCAGGTAGTCATTGTGACTTCATGTCAGAAGTCACACAAGAAGGTTAACAATATCCCTTTCTATAGCAACTGATCTTTGTTATAAGTGCATTCTGAACATTGTTTTATTAAGTGCACGTTAAGTGCTAATTTTGGGCTCAATGAAGTAGATAATGCTGATTTTTATAATATTACATGTCTGATTACAAAATTTATTAGCAAATGTACTATATTTAAAAACAGGACACACCCAAATTTTCATTTATATCTTTTATTACCTTTATAATACTTAGTATATTAGTGATGAGTAACTAGAAGGTCAGAAAGCTCACATTTTTCTTCCAAAAAGCATTTAAGAAACTCTCAGTGGGTGTTGGTGGCTCATGCCTGTAAACTTAGCTACTCAGGAGGCTGAGATATAAGGATCAAGGTTCAAAGCCAGCCCAAGTAGAAAAGTCCTTGAGAGTCTTATCTCCAATTAGCCACCAGAATACCAAAAGTGGTGCTGTGGCTCAAGTGGTAGAGAGCTCGCCTCGATCTGAAGAGCTCAGGAACAGCTCCCAGGCCCAGAGTTCAAGAATCACGACTGACAAAAAAAGAAAAAAAGAAAGGGGGTGGAGAGGGGAGGAGAGGGAAAGGGAGAGAGAGGGAAAGAGAGGAAAAGAAAAGAAAGAGAAGAGAAGAGAAGAAAAGAAACTAACTCTCAGGAAGGTATTGTGACTTTTGATCCAAATCCTGAAAAGGATATCTTTAGCATCTTGTCTGTGTTTTAAGTGAAGTCTATGAAATGGCATGTGACTTACACAAAGTGACATAATAATAGTAACAATGAAAACAGCAACATTGTTTTCCTTTGAACAACATCAAGTGGCTTCTATGAAAAGTCCAGTTTCTTCCAGTTCTGGTGTTTTCTCAGACCATAGAGTTCTGTAAAGGGAATCAGGCCTAGTAACTTGGTACTGATGCTAAGGTGATACAAGTAATTGAACCAATCAGGAAGACATGTGACCCTCAGTTTCCTCACTCACAAAATGGTGATGTGACAAGTTCTCTAAAAATATCTGAGTCCTAAATATTTCCATGCTAGAACATAGTTATGAGTTTGTACAAGTACAGAGTCAGGGGAAGATAGAGCAGGAAAGGAGCAGCCTGCTTCCAGCCAAGGCAACAACATAGGAACCAGACGACTCAGTGTCCTCAGTTGCCCAGCTTGAAAAAGTTCATCAGAAGAATACCAAGTGGCTCCAACACTTATAACCCTTCTAAACTGATGGTTGGTATGTTTGTGGTTATTGGTAATAGAAGATTCCTGATCACAGGCAACATCTCAGCCAATTGTAGCCAATATAACCAAGATTAGCCCTTCCCAGCGGAGTGTGTCTCAGCCTCCTGTTGGTAAGCTTGAACATTACAAAACATACCTTCCACTTCTCTCCAGCTCAAGCCTGTTTCTACTGCTGGGACTAAGCTCTAGTCACTCCCTAAGCTTCAAGACCAGCATTGATTCCAAGGTTTCAGCTGTCAACCAATTCTATGAAGGAAACCTGGTATTCCTGGCCCAGTAGTATCAAATCCCATCACCAAAGAACCAAGATCAGAGCATGAAGCCATGAAAAGGCGGGCCCAGCAAGAGCGTGAGAATGCAGCCAATACACTGCTTTGGGGAAATTGCAGTGTTATGTTCAGAAACAAAAAAGATATGGAAGTTTCTTGATACCACGGCTATGCAATGTAAGAGCTGCTAGGATTGAGGGTACCAATTCAGTACCAGATTTTTTCCAACTTACATATAAAGATAGATAATGACATTAATAGGACCATATAAAGATAAATTGATGATTCATTTAGATATAGATAATAACAGAAAAATTCTCTATTCTCAAGGTTTTCAAAACAAACTGAACAATTGAATGTAATGGAATTGAGTAAGTGGTTCATTAATAAAGATTCCATTTGTGTTTTCATAGATGATTATAGTTCAGCTATATAAATTTAGCTTGACAGGAATAAAGTCATCTTAAGCTATAAACATCATGATTGTTCAAAGGCACCCTTTTCCTGCATAGTTTCTCAATAAACTAATTAGACAAAACCAACAGACTAGGATGTTGAATTTTACAACAGAACACTTGGCTCCAGAATATGATTGATACTTGGGTATTAACATAAATCAGTTACTTTCAACTAGAATGACATACTTTTTGTCATATATATGCCTCTCATTCTGACCCACATTGTGGAGACTTAACATGCTCCTGCAACTTGAACAATCATCTGTCTGTGCGTTCCCCAAAAAGGTTTCTGTAGGTCAATTCTGAAAAATAAAAAGAAAGAAAAGAGATATGCAAACTGGGGACTAGGACAAGTTAATTTGCGTTTGCCAAATAGAACTGAACTTTGCATCTCAATGTTTGAAGATGTAAAATTGCATGGCTAAAATATAAGTTGATGTTAGGTGAAATGAATCCCAAGATAAGGACTCAAATGTTTTTTCTTTCTTGAGATTGTTTCTAACATATTTATAAGATGATTTCTTTGTTGCTTTGTATGTCCCTCCCCCACAATATAACCCCTGTTTTGACTGTATTTGATGTTGGTATAATTTGTGGAGGGAAAGGAAAAAAACAAATTGTTTAAATAGGGATACAGGTGGACCCACTGCAACAATGAGATGTACGAATCTTTATGTCGAAAAACAAACTTCACAACTTTGGGCAGAGGAAGCGGGGAGGAGGAAATAAGGGGTACAGGTGGGGGGGAAGGGAGATGGGAAAGGATAGGAAGGGGAAACAAAGGAGGAAGCAACAATGCTTGATAAGAAATGTACTCATTATCTTGCCCATGTAATTGTAACCCCTCTGTACAGTATTTTCACAATTAAAAACATAGAAAAACAAACAAAAGCAACAAATCTTGACAGTGTTGGATTCCCTATAAAAAAAGAAACAAACCAAGAAAATGAGTAGATAATGCAGAAACTTTGAAAGTCTCTAAACATACTAAAATCACTGGCATAATTGAGATGTTTTAAAATAAAATGAAAACTATTAATGTTTTACTTTTAAAGTTTTTCTCCTTAAGTATATAAAGTTCTGAGCAGTTTCTGAACAAAAATACTCAACTGTATGATCCTTTAGTACAAAAATACATTGTGCTTATTTCATAAAAACAAAACAAACCAAAACTTACCACATGAATCTCATTTCTCGCATCTACACTTTTTCCTGTGCTCTATCATTGTGTACTTTCTCTATCTGGCTCTCCATTTTGCCTGACTGTGCATCCAAGAATGACATGAGACCCAGAATTCCGTAGTGGTGGTTTGTAAGGAGAACGAAGCTACAGTAACTGCCACCCTCATTTTACTTATAGAAGAGACAGAAAAAAATCCTCCATGCTTCTGGCATAAGAATGAACGAGATAGTGCGTGACTACATGGCCCAAAGAGCCAGGGGAAGCAAATTATAAGCAAAATAATTGTTTAAAGTCAGAAAAAGTAAACTCTGCATTCAACTGTATCTTTCATCTTTAATGTTTGCTTCTAACGTGCACACACCACATTTCAGAGTATCAGGGCAAAGAAAAGATCTCTGCTTCTAGGAGTAAACATCCATGGTATAAGAATGCAAACTCTAGTGTGACCAGGGCTCAGGCCTGTTATAACAGCTACTCAAGAGGCTGAGATGAGAGGATCACGGTTCTAAGCCAGTCCAGGCAGGAAAGTCTATGAGACTCTTATATCCAATTAATGACCAAGCAGTCAGATATGCAGCTATGGCTCAAGTGCTAGAGTGTTAGCCTTGATTTAAAGAGTAAAAGTTCTGGGACTAAGCCCTTGCCCTGAGTTCAAATCACAGGACCTATAATAAAATAAAACACAAAAGAATGTAAAATCAAGATTTCTCCAAGAAGTAATTCCTTAAATAAAGAAGAAAAAAATGAAGAACAGAGGAAAGATGCAAGTCCAATCTGGCCTGGAAGAACCCAGAACAAAGATGTCAAGGAGAAGACACTAGAAGGCAAGTGCCTTGAATTACAAAATTCCTTACAAGGTGCCAACAATGTACTTCACGCTGCTCTTCAATCAGGTAACAAAAGAGCTCTTTCATTCTTCTTTGGCTGTTGGAAAGTTCTAGTAAGTTCAATAATTGGGTCAACAAAATAATCTTAGAACAAGTGTAAGGCTTCAACCTCAAGGATCTTCCTTTGTCAAGCACATTATATGCACAAAGTAATTATAATATTTTATGAGGTGAAATATAATGTGCAAATTATAAATAGCTTTAATAATGAACATTGGTGAGAAACACTGAGATGATGTCTTCCATTTAAGAGCCTAGAGGAAAGGGGATAGTATGTCTGATTTTAGACTTCAGGTCTTCCAAGACCAAGCAGTCAGGAGTTATTAAAGCTCTCCTGCCATTCTCTACCCAATCCCTTCTTCTGGTTCAGATTCTGATCTTGTGATTGGCTACTTCAGACCTTTCAACTGCCTAACTAATGACATCATTCTCCCACCAAACCTATCACCACCTAGTAGAATCCTGGGGTTACCATGGCATCCTTCGTATATTTGCATCATCGCAAGTGCCCAGTGCCCAGTGAGCAGTATCCAGTGAGCTCCTTACTGGACACACTCGTGCTCTTTAGCTTCAGCTATCCACACATCCTCAAGTGTCATTCCTCATCCCTTGTATCTCCAGTTGATATTACCCCTTCTCTCAGCATGTCAGGTAAGGAAACTGGTATGTGACTTAGCCACACAATTTACTCTGTGACAAAATCTGTTGCTTTGTCTGCTACATGAAAATAATAAATTGGCCAATCTGGAATCACTTTGATTTCTAAAACTGTGCTTACTTAAAGGGTATTCATGGATGGATATGGAAGCCATAGACTTCTTCAGAGTGTCAATTTTTAACCAATTAATGGAGAAGGAAACCTTGGTGCGGAAAACTCTATATCAGGATACTTTATCTGTAACAGAGTCCTTCAACAGCTAGTTCCACTTTAGTATTTCAAATTTAGTGTATTCAAAGAACAATATTTAAGTCTTTCAATATTTCTGCTCAACTGAGGTACAGAGAAAAACAGAAAGAGAGGAGGGATGATCAGGCTAGCACAAGACAGATGGTCTGGAAGGAAAAATTCACCAGGAACCGGAAGGGTTAAGAAAAGATAAAGACGAGGATGCGAAATAGGATAAAACCCCAGCTATGAAGACCATCTCTTTTCTCAAGAAAAGAGATGTGGTTTAGAACAGAATGCTGGAGATGAACAAACCTGTTAAAATCAACACACAGAAACAGAGTACAACCTAACCACAGCAAGGCAAAATGCAGTTAGTTTTGGTCAAAGCACACATTAATGGACCACAAAGCAAAGTAAGGATAAAACAGAGACTCATTAAAAGCAGTTTTGAGAAGTCACTTTTAGATGATTCTTACTTTATGTTTCTTGTGATGTTTTTTCCAGTTGACTCTGAATACAGATGATGCTTGATAGTGTCTTTTTTCAACCTGTGAACTCAGGGCATAGCACTGGTGCCAGCCATGCCCCAGCCCTCTTTGTTTCAGTTATTTTTTCAGATAGGATTTGGAGTTCTACTTCAGGCCACCCTCAAACCGTGATCCTTCCAGCTATGACTCCCTTGTACCAGTGACCACAGCCATGATCCACTACAGGAGGTTATGTGATTGAGATGAAATTTCACTAACCTGCCTAGAAGGCTGTCAAGCCACCATCCTGAACTGTTTCCCAAGTAGTTATGATCAGAGAAGTGAGCTGCTGAGCCTTGCCTTCACAGTTTCCAATGTGAACATTTTAGACATGTCTTGTAGAAATGGTTCTTTATAACATATTTCTAGCAAGGGTTCTTACAGAAGGTTGTGTAACATAAATTTCAGCATTATTTTCATAATGATTTTTTTTTTGCCTGGTCGTGGGGCCTGAACTCTGGGCCTGGGCTCTGTCCCTCAGCTCTTCAGCTCAAGGCTAGCATTCTACCACTTTGATCCACAGTGCCACTCCAGCCTTTTCTGCTTATGTGGTGCTGAGGAATCGAACCCAGGACCTCATGTATGCAAGGCAAGCACTCTACCACTGAGCCACTTTCCCAGCCCCTCATTCTGATTTTTAAACTTCATGGAGGTGTGTGTGTGTGTGTGTGTGTGTGTGTGTGTGTGTGTGCGTGCGCGTGTGCATGTATATCAATACAAAGGTTTATACTCCAAGCCTGGGTGCTGTCTCTAAGCTTTTTATCTCATAGCTAATGCTCTATAACTTGAGCCACAGCTCTACTTCCTGGTTTTGGTGAGGAGCAGGTTGGAACCATGACCCTCAAAAACCTCAGGCTAGCCAGGGGCCAGTGGCTCACGCCTATAATCCTAGCTACTCAGGAGGCTGAGATCTGAGGATCGTGGTTCAAAGCCAGCCTGAGTAGGAAAGTCTGTGAAACTCTTATGGCCAATAAACCACCAGAAAACTGGAAGTGGTGCTGTAAATCAAGTGGTAGAGTGCTAACCTTGAGCTGAAGAGCTGAGGGACAGCGCTCAGGCCCAGATTTCAAGCCCCTGACCCACAAAAAACAAACAAAAACATCAGGTTCCTGAGTAGTTAGGATAACAGTCATAAATGCCAGGCATATATATATATATATATATATATATATATATTTATATTTATATAAATGTGTGTATGTATATATTATGTATATATGAAGCATTTTAACTTTCATCAGTAGTAGTTCAAATAAAAGTTATATTTTATCCTTATAATCAATTTCTGGCTAAAATAAAAATCCAAAAATCAAAGATAAAGACTTTTCTAAAAATAAAAATCAAAAGTTAATCTCCATATCTTACTTCCACATTCATTTAAAACAATATTGACTTCCATTCTGGTTTTCTATAGTTAAAGTGCTGTTTGGGGATGGGACCATAGCTCAGTAGCACATTATGACACTGATGTGCTACCTACTGCACTAACAAGGCACCTTCAATATCACATTATATACATAAAATATAAAAGGCCTTACTTCTGCCTGGCATTGTAGCTCCTGTCTGTGAACCTAGCTACTTAGAGGGCTGAGATCTGTGGATCACAGTTCTTAGCTAGACTGCAAGAGTAAGAGTCTTTGAAACTATTATTTTCAATTAACCACCCCAAATGGTCTGAGGCTCCACTAACAGAGCTGTTGCTTTGAACACACACACACACACACACACACACACACACACACACACACACACACAACTGAAGGACAGCGCTCAGGCCTAGAATTTAAGCACCAGGAATAATATTGTAGAAAGAAGGTCTGTGTTCTATTACCAGTAAAGAAAATGATGATGATGATGATGATGATGATGATGCTGATAATGATAACAGAACTCTGATAGTGATTAATTTTCATGGGTGATGATATTTTTCTTATGTTGAAGGTGATTTTTCTCATGATTGAACATGAAGCTAGGTTTTCAAAATAAATATGAAAACTTCTAAAACCTTTTAAAAGACCTTTTAGTGCTTCTCTTTTTACTATATTAATTAAAATATATAGCTAAAACAATATCTTTAAATTGGAGTATGATATTTAGAGAAATAGGAATGGCTACAACAGTAGGATCCTTTTATTTTTGGTGATTTGTTGTCCTCTCTACCATTTGGGGTTTTGTTTCTTTGCTCTGATTTTTTTTCTTTTTTGCATTTGTGCTATGTTGCCCAAACTGGTCTTAATCTCCTGAACAAGAGTGATTCTTCAGCCTCAGTAGCCTACATGTGAGAGATACAGAGGTGCCAGGCTTCCTACTCATTTTTTAAAATGCTGGTCTATATCAATTATGACTGCTTATATGGCATGACTGTTGATACAAAAAAAAAATCCCAAAGATGAGTTATCTAACTCCTAGGATGAAAGGTCAGATAATAATCATTCTCAATAAACATTAGAAATTTGAATTAAAAGTACTATTTATACTATCAAAATTATGAGATACTTAGAATAATTATAAAAGATATGTGTAGGATTTATATGCTGAAAACTACAAAGTTTTGGTGAAAGGAATCAAAGCAACAGTCAAGTAAATGAAGAGTTATCCATGTTCATGAAGCAGAAGGTTCACTATTGTCAATTGAGGCAGGATGAGAAAAGAGAGATGTGTCAGTGAGAGATAGAAGATAGGGGTGGTGTACCAAGACGAAAAACCATACATACTGACTTGAGGTTGAAGATTACACGTTTGCTGCCAGCCTTTAAAATTAACTGACAAACTGTCTCAAAACAAAGTTCTTAGCCAGGTGCCAGTGGTTAATACCTGTAATCCTAGCTACTCAAAGAGATGAGATATGAACATGGAAGTTCAAAGACATCCTAGTCAATAAAGTCCTTAGGATCCTAGTCTACAGTTAACCACAAAAAGGCAGAAGTAGAGCTATGGCTTAAGTGGTACAATGCTACCCTTGAGCAAAAAAACCTGGGCAAAATGCTCAGGTACTGAGTGCAACTCCCCAGATAGGGACACACAGACACACAGACACATAGACACACACACAGACACACACAGACACACACACACACACACACACACACACACATTCTTAATTCAAAGCCCACTTTCACTTCTGTGTTAGATTTTGGCTAAAATGAAGGAGAAATATCCATTTGTATAATATTGCACATATAATAACATCACAACATTTATTGGTAAATATACTACACTTGATTATTTGATACATATCAAAATTATCTTTCATATCTTTGTATATTTTTAATTTTTGTCAACCTTTTCAGAACTGACTATATCAAGCTCCATATCAATCATGTATGAGACTTTTATTCATTACTCATTATTATGACTATTTACATATATAATATGTCATTGATGAATAAGTAAAAGCTCAGAAAATTTCATAGTTTTCTTGCAAAAAGCATGTCTTGAGAAAGTAACTTTGAGGTAATCTTTGTGACTTCAGCTCAGAAGGCAGACCTGAAGAGGTCTGACTTGACTTACCTTCTTGTCTGTGTTTTAAATGAACTCTACAAGTGTCCTGCAACTTATACAAGGTGGCACAACAGCAAGACAATGAAAACAGGATCACTGTTTTCTCGTGAACAACATCAACTGCCTCATGAAAATTCTATTTCTCCTGATTTTGGTGCACTGTTCACCTGCTCACTCTTTATAACACGGTGTTCATAGTAATAAGAAAGAAGTACTCAAAGCAATCAGGTTGACCTCTGACCCTCATCTTCCTTACTCCAGAAATAATCTAACAAGTTCTCTAAGGATATCTGAGATCTAAAATGCTTCCATGCTAGGACATAGTTAGGAGCAAATGCAAGTACAGACTGAGGGAAAGCCAGGAAAGGAAAGAAGCCTATTTCTACCCAGAAAACAACATAGGAACCACTTGGTGTCTTCTGTTACACAGCTTGGGAAAGTTCATAGGAAGAATACAAAATGGTTCTGGCTTATAAACTGATCATAGATATGTTAATGATTGTTGGTATTAGAGGGCTTCTGATCATAGCCAGCTTCAAATATACTGCTCCTCAAATAAAGTGGGAGTTGGTCAATCTCATTCATTTTTTACCACCCTTTTGCTTTTTGCAGACAATTTCCAACATCAATCTCTACTTGGAACTGCAAACTCACCACAGCTCTCTGTTCCTGTGGTGAGTGATGCCACTTCTCTACCAGGAAATGTCTGCAACCTCTCCAGAATCTCCACTCCAGCCTTCACTTCAACATGGCCACTACCATCAACCTCTGGCATCTCTTTCCAGCCACTCACGGGTACTGCCTATCTTTACCAACATTCTAGCACACCCATGCTGACAGGAGTTACTGGCCAGAACCACATCTGCACTTCAGCCTCCTCCTGTCCCAGTACTTTTGAAAGGAAGTACACAGGACACACTAAAAAGAAGTCATCTGAACTTAGAGACTTCACCGTGACTCTCAACCAGGGCACAGCAGTCCCTTCAATGGCTGTGACACCACGATATGTGGATGCCAATGCCATAGTCCCTCTGTATCCATCACTGTCTGCCAGCCTGGTCCATGGGACATTATCTCAGATTCCACATCAAGAGAGTAGCATATTACTTCCCTACCAACAAAGAAACCAGGTTTACTACTATAATCAAAACACTGTGGGCCCTCTGTTGTTTGGAGAGCCTGGTCCCTGCCTGCAATCATATGGCTCTGTGTCCTACACAGGGAGTGGGTTCTTTGCTCCTCAGCCAGAAATAGTGATGACACTCCAAGAGGTCCAGCCTACAGATGTCTTACCACCAGTCTCCACTTCTGGAATCTACTACTCTGTGTCTGCTCAACCTAACACAGAAACCAATTTCCAAGGTAAGCCCAGACAGCAAAAAGGAATAGGACTAGCTTCATACAAAAGGAGGGGACAATCTACATCTGAATAGTAGAGCATTCACAAATATAGTTTAAGTCCTGAGCCTCAACCACCACACTCACAAGATGACCTCCATTTTCAGGCATAAATCATATGGCTAAGAGTATGGTTCAAGTGGAGGAGCACTTGAGCTGTGCCTCAACTGGTAGAATGCTAGCCTTGAGCCAAAAAACAAAAACTATGCAGAGTGCACAGACCCTGAGTGCAGCACCCAAACAGAGACACACACATATAGCACACAATCACATATTCAGAGATGCTGCCCGCAGGAAATAGGCCATAAGACATACATTTTGTGTATTTTGTAGGCAGGAAGTCCACTCTTAAGCTGAGCACCCGTGGCTCATGCTTGTGGCCTATTTACTCAGGAAACAGATCTGATGATTGAATTTCAAAGTCATACTGAAAACTTTTTCAGCATCTTCAGTTCACAAACAAATGCCAACACTAGTAGTCTACCTGAAATGGTAATGCACCAGCCCTAAGAAAAACATTGAAAAAAAAAAGGCTCTGAATTCAAGCCCCAGAATCAGTGAGCATGTACATCCATACTCACTCTCTCTCTTACTCATACGCACACACTCTCTCTCTCACACACAAATCAAAACTCATATAAAACTTTCCCATTCTCTGCCTTTGTCTCTCTTTCTCTGTCTCTCTGTCTCTCTTTCTCTCTCGCTTGCTCATTCACTCTCCTTCTCTCTCTCCCCCCCCCTCTCTCTCCATGATGTCATGAGACATGTTATATTTACAGGAGAGTGACAAAAATTGTTACCTATATAAAAATTATGAGGAATCATAATCATGGGACTGAACCCAGAGCTAAGAGTTTTCACTTTTATTTCACTTGCAATAAACTGATGTCGGTGCCCTGAATCTTGTATATATACTTCTCTAATTTGGTGAGGGGAAGGGAAATGCTTAAATAGGGATACAGGTTGATCCATTGTAACAATGAAATGCATAAGACACTATGTTGAAAAAATGAACTTTACAATTTAGGCAGGGGGTTGGGGCAGGGGAATGTAGTTGTGGAGTGGGAGGGAAGGGATGGTAGAGGAAAAACAAAGGAGGAGGTAACAATGCTTGATAGGAAATGCACTCATTACCTTGCTCATGTAACTGTAACCCCTCTGTACAGTATTTTTACAATAAAAAGTATTTTAAAAAAAGAAACAAGGGCATCTAATTAGCACCAGTTTTAAATAGAGTAGCTGTCACCCATCTTCTAACTCAGAATTTTGTCCATAGACCATAAGACCATCTCCTAGGAACCTTGTTCAGTGATCAAAAATGCCTATTTAATTTGTTGGTGTGTGTGTGGAGCATCTCACTTACCAGGGACTGATTTCTGCATTGATTACTTTGCACTGATGGAAACTAACCTGGGAATGGAAACTTTCCTAGAATTGCAATTTCCAGTCAGACATTTTGTCAGCCAGAAATTCCAGACAGCCCCAAGTACTACAAGTGTAAATTCTGAAGTAATTGAGAAAAATATGTGTCATCTGACCTTGGAGACATTTCTTAGAGATACAGTATTAAACTCTCCTAATACCTTGGCCTTGCCTCCAGCTAATACAAGACCCAAACAAAGAATAAGCATCAGGATGAAATTCAAACCAAGCTTTCAAAGCCTCTGGTTGCCTTCCAGAAAACTATAGAAAGCCAGAATAACCCACTACTCTCTTCAGGAATCCCTGAAATTTAGCAGCTGCCGGTCAATAGTAACCTTAGGGACAAGGGAGAAGTCTACATGGGATAAAGCCAATTTGGAAATTTTGAGTCTTGAGGACAAATGGAATTGACTGTAACAATGAGTGGGCTTCCAGATATTGATATGCTGGTTAAAGACATTCATTTTAACCAGATTTTCAATTCATTCACAGATCTCAAACAATCCAATGTTTCTACTACAACCGACATCAAAGGTACAGAAACTAATTGCAGCCAAAACAAGATTCTCCTCCAGGAAAACTCAGTGGTCACTAAGCATTCCACTGATCAAGTCCAAAGGAACAAGCATGAAGCCTTGGAAAGTGTGGATGGAACTCCTGAGGTCAAAGTCGAATGCCAGCCCCCAGAGCTCCTGCTGGAGGAAGAGGTGACTGTGTGCACCATCCCATCCAGTGAGCAGGCTTCCGGGAACACAGACAAGCATTCTGACAGCAAATCTCCAAAAGCTGCATCCAGCAGGGTCAGCAAAACTAAGAGCCATGCACAGAAAGAGACCAAAAGGATCAGGGAGAACCACCCCAAGAAATGTGATGAAACCAAGCAGCCAGGGAACAAAATCAAAAAAGAAGAAAAGACAAGCATTCCCAAGACCAAGCACAAGAGAAGTCACCCTGAGCTTAGCCAAGAGACCTTCAAAAGGCCTCGAACCAACCTAGGCGTGCAGATGTGGGAGTCAGTGCAGGTTTTCCATGCACTAGGGAAGAAAAGTGAGAAGAAAAAGGAGCTGCCTTCTCCCAAGGCCTTGAGAAATGCCAGCAGCACACAAGAAACCAAGTCCACTCCAGCTGTGAAATCCTGGCTGGATATTCCCCATGAGGGCAAAGGCCCTAAAATTACTCAAGTCAAGAAAAGGGATAGGAGTGAAAGCCAGTGTCCATCACCAACCCAGGATGAGCTGCCTCCACCTGGGAAGGTCAAGCTGGTTCCTTTGCCTTTTCTAGCCCCAGAGAAGCCTCAAGCTCGACCTGTTTCTCGCAGGCCACAGTCTCTGGCCTCCCGGAGACCCACTGTACCTTACCGTGCTCTCCCTTGTTCTAACACAGCTCAGCCTACTCCAGTCAGCCGATCTCAACCAGCTACTGCCAACACATGCTTCATAGGTTCCACCAAAACATCACAGCCAATTGCAGCCAAAACAATCAAACAGGGATTGACCACCACTCCTCAGCCTAGTGTGTGTCAACCTACCGTTGCCAAGCCTAAACCCTATGAAACATCATCTTCCACTTCTGTGCAGCAGAAACCTGTGTCAACTTCTGGGACCAAGTTCCAGTCACCACCTAACCCTCAAAGCCAGTATCTACTCCAAGACTTCAGCCGCCAACCAATTCCATGGAGGAAACCTGATATTCCTGGGCCAGTAGTATCAAATCCCATCACCAAGGAGCAGAGGCCAGAGCGTGAAGCCATGAAAAGGCGGGCCCAGAAAGAGCGTGAAATTGCTGCCCAATACACTGCTTTGGGGAAACTGCAGTTTTTTGCTCAGAGGCAAAGAGATATGGAAGTTTCTCAATATTATGGCTATGTAATGTAAGAGCTGCTACGATTGTGGGTACCACATTGAGAACCAGATGTTTTCCCATATATATTTATATATATGAATATATATACAGACTTATAAAGATATATAGACTTATTGACCTAAGTCCATAGCTTTTAGTAGAGTAAAATTAATATATAAACCTTAAACTGAACAATTGAATGTAATGAAATTTAATGTATGACTAATAAAGAAGCCATTTGAGTTTTAAGATATTGCTAAAGTTTGGCTTGTTTTTGGATAGAAGTGGGGATCAAAAGTTGCACTTGAAAGAAGGTGAACTTTGCGTGTGAGAACTAGGTAGGGTAAGGAGAAGAATTAGGACAGCAGAACTAACATGGTCCAGTGGTAGGAAAGTCAAAAAGGAGCCATGTTTTCTCTCATATATAGAAGCTAGTTTTCGCTTACAAACTCTACGCAAATACATTGGGTGGTATGCAAGTGTATACAAATGTATACACTTAACTGAAATATGGTAGATTCAAGAGAGTTCTCTATATTTTAGTTCCTATCAAAGTTTAGCAAAATAGAACACCAGGAAGTGGGTACTCAAAACGGGTGGGGTAAGATCAGGCAAAAGGAGTAGATGAAGAGGAGAAGAGAGGGGAAATGTAAGCAAGAATCCAATGTCTATCCTAGAAAATTAAGAAGAGTGAGGAAAACAGTAGGTAAGATGATTGGATGAGAATTTTGAAAGGAGTGACATTGATCAAATTAAAGGTATTATATTCATAAATTGCTTTGTTAAATGGCAACCCCTTTGTATAATTATTTTTAAAAAAACAAAGCAAAAAAAGAGAAATGATTCTTCCTACAGGCCACGTCATTTTTAACATTCTATTTTATTCCAGTTCTTAATATAAAAGGATTTTTTAATGAAGTATCCTACCTTTTATCATAAATGGGTGTCAAGAGCTGCTTTTTTTTCCTTTACAATAATTTTCTGGCTAAAACAATGCATAATTACTAAAAGTCACTAACCTCGGTTTTTACCTATGAATTAACAAGACCTTTCAATGAAAAATAATCTCCCCGTTTGTAGTTCCGTATTCATCTCTAACAATTCTTTGAAGTTTGTTGGGCTTTTATGTATTTCTTAAAAGAATTGTTTGGGGCTGGCGATATAGCTCAGTGTCAGAGTTCGTGCTTAGTATATACAAGGCTCAAGTGTAGCACTGGGTAATATTTTGCTATACTAAAGGCTATAAGCTAGGTTTTTAGAATAAATATGAAAATTTTCAGAATCTTATTAAAATCTTTTTTGATATTTTTCTTCATGGCTATTATATACCTAGCTAAAAGTATTACTTTCTATTATTTGATGTGCAATATTTAGAGAAATATGAATGCATGCAGTAAGAAGATTTCTTTATACTTACTGTTCTTCTGACCACTGGACCCTTTGAAACATTTTTGGATTAGGATTTTTGTTTTTATGCTATATAGACCAAGCTAGCCACAAATATCTGAACTCAAGTATCCTATACTTCAGCATCCCAATTGCTGAGTAGCTAAGATTACAGATGTAACTCCTGGTACCAATCTTAGATGTACACATTTTAATTGAAATAGTGGTTTACATAATTACATAATTGTGGCTGTTTAAATGTTCATATTTACTGAATTTTGCTCTTTTTTTACAAATTTTTTATTGAAAGTTTTCTTGTCTGTATGAACTGGCTAGAAATTCATTCAAAAATTAATGTAGTGGGGCTGGGAAGGTGGTTCAGTGGTAGAGCGCTTGCCTTGTATGCATGAGGCCCTGGGTTCGATTCCTCAGCACCACATAAGCAGAAAAAAAGCCAGAAGTGGCGCTGTGGCTCAAGTGGTAGAGGGCTAGCCTTGAGCTGAAGAGCTAAGGGACAGCGCCCAGGCCCAGAGTTCAGGCCCCATGACCGGACCCAAAAAAAAAAAAATTAATGTAGTAATGTGGTGCCTGTCTAAAATCTCAGCTACTAAGAAGGTTGAGACAGGAGAATTACAGACAATTTCTATAATCTATCTTTACGTGGATCTGCAAATTCACTGCAGCTGTCTCTTCTTGTGGTGAACAATGTCACTGCTTTAACAGAAATGTCCTCAATTTCTCTAGAGTCCTGGCTCTAACTGTCACTTCAACATGGCTACTGACATTAATATCTAGCACCTCTTTCTAGACACTCATGGCTAGTACCTATCTTTACCAACATTCTAGCACAACCATGTTGTCATAGTGGCAAGAGTCACATGTTCACATCACCTGTCTCCTACACCTGTATCTTTTAATGGAACACCATAAGAAACAATGAAAATTAGTCATCTTCACTGTGACTGTTTGACCAGGACACAGCAATGTCTCTAATGACTATGGTATCCCAGTATGCTAAACTCCAGATACCCATGCCACAGACCTTCTGTATCCATTGTTTCCAGTTGGCCTGGTTCAGGGAACACTATCTCTGATTCCAATTCAAGTACATAGAGTCTGTCACTTCTCTATTGGAGGAAAAAAGCAGGTCTATTTCTATAATCAAAACATATGGGGGAGTGTAGGGCACTTGTGGCTCCTGCCTGTATTACTAGCTACTCAGGAGGCTAAGATCTGAAGATCCCCATTTGAAACCAGCCTCGGCAGGAAAATCCCTGAGATTTTTATCTCCAACTAACCACCAGAAAGCTGGAAGTAGTACTGTGGCTCAAAGTGGTAGAGCACTAGCTTTGAGCAAAAAAGATCCAGGACAGTACCCAAACCCCGAATTAAAACCCCACACCTGACCAAAAAAAATAAAAAACACATGGGAGAGCCTCTGCTATCTGGAGAGCTTAGACTGTGACTCCAATATTACGGCTCTGTATCATATCCAGGGCATAGGGCCTCTGCCTCTCAGCCAGAAATAGTGATGGTGCTCACAAAGGTTCAGCCCACAAATGTTCTACTCTCAGTTTCCACTGCTAGAATCTACTATGTGCCTGCTCAACCCATCACAGAAACCAATTTTCAAGATAAGTACAGAAGAAAGAACAGAATCCAGAAGAACAGAAGAATCTGCAGCTGAGTTGTGAGAGTCTACATAAAAGTACAGTTAAAGTCCTGAGCCTCAGCCACTACCTTTACTTGGTGCTCTTCATCTGCAGGCTTTATATAAGATAGAAAGGGCTGAGGACATGGCTCAAGTGGTAAAGTTCTGATGTGGCAAACATAAGGTCCCAGGTTTAAACTGCAGTACTGCCATTAATTAACTAAGGGACACTGAACATTGTAATGGCCATTTGAAATTCCCTGCCTTTATAAGTCTACCAGATTCATCTTAAGTGAAGATATGATTTATTAATATTGTTATTATAGTTACATAGTTGTACAAAGGAATTGCCATTCAACAAAGCATTGTAGAAATACAATGCATCTTGGTCTATGTAACCCCTTGAACAGTCTCACTCCTTCCCTCAAACCTTTGCTTCTTCCCTCACATTTCTTAATTTTGTAGGCTATGCACTGAAATTTTTACTGCATCTTCCTCTTCCCACTTTCTTCTCTTAATTTCTCTACCCATCTCCTCTTAACTGCACCGCACCAGTCTCCTAGTGTTTGTTGTCACTGTAGGTGACTTTTGATTTAGCCTTTCTAAGGAAGACGTGCTTTTAACTGTCCTCAAAACACACACACACACACACACACACACACACACACCACCACCACCACCACCAACAACAACAACAACAACAACAATTATTACTCTTATTCCTTTATCTAGTACTTTAGATTCTTTGAGAAATAGTAAGAAGTTTTGAGGGGTAGAGACAGTTAAACTTTCCCTCATTTTCTGTGTTCAGAGATCCTGTCAAAAGCAAAGAGGCTCAGGACATGTCAGTTTTGTGTTTTTCTTAAGGAAGAAACCTCTAGAGCTGGAAGTCAGTGGCCAAAGTCTGTAATCCTAGCTTCTCAGGAGGCTGAGATCTGGGGATTGGTGTTTGAATACAACCTTGAACAAACATATCCTTGTTACTCTTGTTGCCAGGCAACCAGCAAGACCTGAAAGTAGAAGCATGACTCAAGTGGTAGAGTGCCACAATTGAGAAAAAAAGACAAGAGCACAAGGCTCTGAATTCAAGTCCTGCTACAAGAGTTCATAGACACACACACACACACACACACACACACACACACACAAGCCAAACACACAAAACAGGAACATAAAATCTTCCTTTTTTCCCTCTTAGTCATATGAGACATAAGACATCCTCACAGACAGTGACAAGAAATGATTATGCTCTATGAGAATGTTAGGCTCTAGGAAACATTTTTTCCTTTTTAATTCTCTGGGGGTTACTTGGGTTTGAACCCAGAGCCAAGAGAATAATAAGCAAGTGATCAACCATCGAGTCATACTCAAAGTCCAAAATATTTCTGACTTTTCAAATCACTTTCACTTTTATTTTACTATAACAATTGTATGAGATACAAAGAAATAAACAGTGACATCAAATTATCATTAATACTAATTGGAACACTCAGCATCTATCTGACAATACTAGGTTTTCTAAACCCATCTGAAAATATGGGATTCTGTCCATGTCCCTAAAATGACTAGAAACACCTGGGCCGGTGTTAGCAGATGCCTGTTTAATTTGTTGTTGAAGAGGTGGAGCATCTCAGTTACCCTACTCCTTGATTTCTTTCTAGTGATGGGAACTTTCCTGGAAATGAACACTTTCCTAGGATTGTAACCTTCAAGCTAAAAATTTTGTGTTCTGAAAATTCTAAAGAGCCCTAAGATCTATAGTAGCATAAATGTTGAATCCACTTAGAACAACAATCCACCTGAGTTAGGAGACATTTCAATAATAGCTCTAGTCCAAAGCTCTCCTACTATCTTGACGTTGCCTCCAGCTCTAAGCAAGGAATAAAAAGAGAATAAGCATTTGAATGAAATTCAAACCAAGTTTTCAAAGACTCTGGATGTCATTCAGATCTCCAGGGAAAACCATGACCCCCTATTACTCCTTTAGAAATCTCT